CTTTACTCTTGGGTGGGGTGCTGGCGTTCGGTTTAAAAAATTGTTAAAAAATGTTTAATGGCCGGAACTATTGTTGAAACCTGTAAAAATTGTTGGAACTATGCGAGAACTGTCGAGAACTGTAAAGAAAGTGGCTGGAAAACGTCTGCACCGCATACTTTACTCTTGGGTGGGGTGCTGGCGGTCGGATTAAAACATTTTTTTTTAATGTTTAGAGGCCGGAACTTGTTCTAAAACGTATGTAGAACTATAGAACTCTTCGAGAACTATAGAATTAAATTTTTTAATTGGGGTTTTTGAGACTTTGTGGTGCCACGGGAAGTTGGCACCTCATATTTTCAAAGTGATATATTATGTACTGAGTTGACGGAACTATTGATATAACCTATCAGGAACTGTAGAACTATTGCGGGTGCAAATAGAACTTGCATAAAAATTTGCGGTGCAAAGAAATGAGGTGCCAACTTCACACCGACTTTCAAGTCTGGCCTACCGTACTCCACGTGCTCATTCGCCCAGACGTGCAAATTAATTACTCGATAACTATTGCGAATCTTGCAACGCGGCACATAACTTTTTTTCGTAGTTTAACCCAATCTACCACTATTTCCAAATTGGCTACTTTTTTATCAGGCACCCTGTATATTAACAAGTACATGACTTAAATATTTATATGTATATAAATAATAGTACAAAATAAATTAATTAAAAGTAAATCCGAGTAAGTAAAAAACCATTAATAATGTTATTATAATAAACTCCTGTAACATATACCGTTGCTCAGTGAAATATCTCATCTACCTACATTTGCGATCATTACCAACAGCTTTGTTTGCACACATTTTGCCAACAGATACATTTTCCGACATTCCACTTTGCCTACAAACTAATTGTCTGTAAGCAGAATTGTGCATATGTAATAAGTACATTCGCGCATATGACCTCTTCATGCACAAACACATTGAGAACATGACATATATTATTGTGCACACATATGTATATTGACCACAAAACTGTATTGCATACATGATCATACTACACATACATATGGCACAAGAAAAATATACTTACACTTTAAATACATGACTTTGTTGAGTACATACACTTTGCACGTGTAACGTTAGTGTGTGCATACATTATCTTTAAAATATATGAGGATAATACTTAATGGTCAGTGTAAAAAATTACATAGTATAATATCATATTTAATAGTACAAATAAATATAGACAAAAATAAACACATCTTCATTTTTATTTGAAGTACAGCAAAAAATATATGATATCAATGCACCATGGAAACCTGATGTACTAATATCTTGATTTGAATAATTTTAATCTTATACATATCTTCTATATATTTATCAGCTTTTCACAAATATCTAAACCACGTTTTTAAAAAATTAATATTTGTACATATTTTCGAAACATAAATACTGTTACTTTTTTGTTAATTATAATTTTTACCATACTGACACTGATCAATTTATATTTGCTTCATCATTGTGTAGAATATATGACAGTAAAGTAAGATACCGAAGCTTTAATCAGCTGTAATTAATGACATCTTTTTTTATAATATCCATTACTGCAATAATATGGTATTTTTGAGATATTTTACATCTTCTTACCATGGCAAAACCTTCCATAGACGCAGTAAATAATCCACCAACAGTCAAAGTAAACTCCTTGGTTTCTCTTTGTAACAGGAATAATATCATCTTTTGTATGTGTATAGGCGCTCTATACCACTGCACCTTATATCTGCAAAATTGTACAGAGTGTTATGTAATACCCGCCTCACCTCATATTTACAGATAGAACGGATTAGACTCAGTTGGAAAGTCCTGTATCATTTTGCAATTTTTGCAATGGTTAGCAAGTTATTAATTATTAAAAATCGCTGTCTTAGCCTACCGCCCAATTCAAATGCGCAACAAGATGCGGCCGCGATTTGCGTTGCTAGGCGCGCGGGGACTTGTTTATGACACACGGCAACGGCTACGTAATAAACAAGTCCCCGCGCTTCAATCGCGAGACGGCCGTATTTCGTCACGCGTTTGAATTGGGCGATAGACCGGGCTAAGACACTAATTTTTAATAATTAATAACTCATTAACTTTTGCGAAAATTGAGGTGAGGCAGGTATTACATAACATATACATATACTGATACTGAATCGCAAATTAAGATAAACATTTATATTAGTTACTACAAGCGTACTTTAGCGTGCAGTGATTTATTGTATAGTGATACTAATTTGTATTTAATTTAATAACTCTTAAAAAATGAACTCTTATACATATATATATATATATATTCTCATTTATCTTACACAGTAGAAAATATGTAATTATTATGATCTATTATATTCTGTCCAATATAGTTGGATATAAACATATACATCACATGAACAAGTAGAAAGATAAACGGAAAAAACAATTCCATAACATTATACCCAGATGATGCAATCTGAAAAATCGAATGAATCAATTTTCTAGACATATGTACTTCTTGGTATTGTATTGTTAATATGCATAATTTCGAAACAACTCTTATATATTATTATATAAAACACAAATCAAAAACGTACACAAAACAAATTGATGCTTATGCAAATAATGTTATTCACTATTATCCAACACATCATCATATTCAATACTGATATCAAATTCTTGGACAATCTTCAAAAATAAAAAATATTACTAAACATACTCCTTGAATATTGTCTACGTAAATACATACTTCATAGCTTGTCGATGCACGTTTACCGCATAAATTATACCGTTGGTCATCAAGATCTCATTTTTTAGTGTAATGTTTTGTAAAATGTTGAAACTCATTGCATGCTCAATACGGTAGCTACAAATATTGTTACACTGACAATTGTAATTATACAGAGTGCTTCGCTTTTTGACTGCCGTTCACGGGAAGGTAGAGAGGACCAAGACAAATAGAAAAGTCCTCTACCATTTTGCACTTGGAGGATAGTTATCGAGATATTAATGTTCAAAAATCGCCCTATCAGCCCGAGCTACTGGCAAATGTAAGCGCGCGGTAAAATGCGTCCGCCCGCCCATTGGTTACCGCCCGAGGCGGTGCGCGGCGAGAAGTAGGGAGGTTCGCCGCCGTTCGTCCGCCGCTTACGCGACCGCTTGCATACTCAACTTGTTAATATGCATAATATTAACTTGCATATTTGCTATTTATGCAAGGTCACCTTTTTTCATAAGTCTCCCTACTCCTCGCCGCGCACCGCCGCTCGCGACGGCCAATGGACGGACGGACGCATCACACTGCGCGCTTACATTTGCCAGTAGGTTGGGCTGATATGACGATTTTTGAACATTAATATCTCGATAACTATACCTCCAAGTGTAAAATGGTACAGGACTTTTCTATTTGTCTTGGTCCTCTCTACCTGCCCATGAACGGCGATCAAAAAGTTGCAGAGCACACATTTTATTAATTGACACCATTATCAGCTAAAAACAAAGCTTTACATACAACTTTTATATATTTAATCATATTATATAAAAATAATATGTTTTGTACACTAGTTATACTAGTTATTTATTGGACTTTTATAGTTCATTCTTATCCACATTGTAACACCTACCTAGCAATTCTAAACATTCCACAAGTTTGTTGTATGTAAGTAATTAATATTGTACCTGTTCCTAGTGTTATAATCCCACCTATAAAAAGTGTTGCGTATATGTGCAATATAATCAAGTAGAAATATTTTTCTTGGTCGACAAAGTATTCTATCATAATAGGAAAAAGGTACGGTTGAGATATGTTGATGGGTACAATAGCACTCATTAGTTTCGACCAAAATTGAATTATAATACAAGTAAATGATCCACAAACTGCAAGTACTACAAAACAAAAAATGGCATTTAAATTCATAAATGTGTAATATTATGTAATTATTTTATGTGCACGTATGGATATTAAGGAAAAATATTTTTAATAGACTCAAGCGCAAATTTGATTTTAAAGTTGAAAACTATCTTCCTATTTTATTCGATTTATGAACATATTTGTTATTTATCGCAAGTACATTTTCATGATTAATGTTTTAATATATCCATGTAATATATTATATACAATAAATATATAGATATAAAAGTTATAATCTAGTTAATATACTACAGTCACTTTATATTATAATATACAGGGTGTCATGTTATACCCGCCTCATCTCTTATTTACGGATAAAGCGGACTAGACTGTGTCGGAAAGTCCTCCACCATTTTGCAACTATCGCAATAGTTAATGAGTTATTAATTATTAAAAATCCCTATCTTTTAATAATAGAAACAGGCTCGTACAAACAGCGTATATTTAATAAGATACAGAGTTACTTGAGAGAGTATAAGAACATGTAACGTCCAGCTTGCTACGTAGATACGAGACGACAGGGATCCACTAACTAGACCTGGGAGAGGGAGGTTTCTCGGTAGGGCCAACCTAAGGACTGTCGTGGTAGAGTTAGATGTCGCTATGTCTCGTCAGTCCCAGTCAGAAATGACTTGAAAACCGACGTCGAAACGATATCGAATCGATGCATTTTTGGTTCCATTTTCGACTTGGCTCGAAAACGGAACCAAAAATGCATCGATTCGATATCGTTTCGACGTCGGTTTTCAAGTCATTTCTGACTGGGGTGTTGTCCTTGATAAATAGATGTTGTGAACACTTTCCAACACTATCTTAGCCCGGCCTACTACCCAATTAAAACGCGCTGAGAGATGCAACCGTCCGCAATCGGTGTTGCTAGGCGTGCGAGGAGTTGTTTATTATACGTAGCCTTTGCTGTCTGTCATAAACAATTCCCCGCGCACCTAGCAATGCCGATCGGGCGGTAGGCCGGGCTAAGTCAGCGATTTTTAATAATAATAACTCCTTACTTATTGCAAGAATTACAAAATGAAACATGACTTTTCGACTCAGTCTAATCCGCTATATTCGTAAATAAGAGTTAAAGCTGGTATTGCATAACACCCTGTTTAATAATGTGAAAGTTGTAATCAAATAATAATGCAAAAAAATAATTTATCTTCACAGCATATTACTAGATTTTTAATTGAAAATAGGATTATTATACATGCAAAAATCAATACACATTGTCCTACCTGTAAGCGTAATTGTGTAACGTTTCGCAATACAACTATATTTTTTTACAATAGCAATTTCATTTTTATCCTTTAAGTTGTTAAGTATATGTTGAAGCTCCATCAGTAACTTTTTCATCTGTCATTTTAATAACATTATATGTATACTATTGTTCTCTACATTTAAAAACATTATTTTGTAAACAGATTAATCCTATATAGTGAATATTCTGAACATCATCAACTTACAACTTCAATGTTAACATAGAATGAGTTATACTCTATTGTACGTGCTACAAAGAAAGATACAGAAGACAGCACCTTGGTAATAACATTAGAAGTACATTTTAGCGTAACTAATGGTGTCAGCTGCAAGTCAAGATAGTTCTATACAATTTTAAACATTAAGTATGATTAATCATAATTATATATCAAATAAAAGAGAAAAATATACATAAGCGGATACAGACTTGTATGGCATTTATGTACCATATGTTTGTCGTTCACTAATTTTATGGTACGATACGATAATAGGTACGCCTTTGCCTATTATTGTATCAAAATTTTGATAAGCAATGCACCCTGTTTAAACTGACAGGCAGTAACTAAGCAATAAATATATGCACAAGTTTGTATCCATCTTAAGAGGTTTATTGTTACAGCTTATCCATGACGTTGACTAAGCTGAACTATTCGAATTACTTCGCATAATGACAGTAATTATTAATGTAGAGAATATTGTGTCCAATCTTTCATAATCATACGAAGCTTCACATGTTATGCACAAATAATGACAAGAAAAAATACTTCAAAAGATGATAAATAACTTTTTACATAAAAATAATGTTCCAAATGTAAATGTACACGTATATACAGGGTGAGTCACAACATTTGTGCCAGAGCTTGTGAGAAGGTAGAACGGATCGAGATGAACAGAAAAGTCCTGAACCATTTGCAATTTTCGCAATAGTTAACGAGTAATTAATTATCAAAAATCGTCGTCTTTGCCCTGCCCACTGTCCAATTCGAGCGCGTGGCGAGATGTGACCGCCCAGCGATCGGTATTGCCAGGCGAGGGGGGGGACAGCGCGCCGTTGCCGGCGTCGCCGGCGGGCTTACGTCGCCACTCCCGCGTCTCGCGTCCCCACCCCTCGCCTGGCAATATTGATCGCCGTGCGGTCACATCTCGCCACGCGCTCGAATTGGACAGTGGGCAGGGCAAAGACGACGATTTTTGATAATTAATTACTCGTTAACTATTGCGAAAATTGCAAATGGTTCAGGACTTTTATGTTCATCACGATCCGTTCTACCTTCTCACGAGCTCTGGCACAAATGTTGTGACTCACCCTGTATATCATGATATTAATTTCTTTGTGCTTGATATAAGGTCAGTTTCTATTTGCAACTAAAATCAAAATACAATGTTCAATTTTACTTTTACGCACACGCAGACACATTAACAAACTATATTATTTACCTGAATCAATCTCATTATCTTATTTGTTTATATACACAAGTTTTAGTACAAGCATAGAAAGTTAAAGAATAAGTTGTCTGGGTATAGTGTACATGTTGTAATATTTTCATTTAATACAAACAATGAATTACATAATGCAGACAATAAACATAGAAATATTTGACAATGGAAGAGATTGTCATGTAGTAATTGATCTTATAATAATATTACTATATTCGGGTTTTACCTGAAATATAATAGCTGCTAACAGAATAGTAGAAAAGAAAATAAACTGCAATTGAGTAAATTTGGACTGTTGATACGGCCATAAACCAACAGCGAGTAATAAAACTTTATTGAGACCGTAATATCCAGTTTTTTTATTTACCATTTCTGTACGAGTGTCTAAGACATAAAGGGAAATATGAACCAATGCCTTACGACGCGGTGATTGTGCGTAGGACTAATAAAACTTCGCATAAGAATGCAGATTTGAGATCTGCACTATCACAATTTTGTTAAATTATTTTACATCTGGAGTATGTATTATTAACCACTTAGAAATACATATTTAACACATATTTAGGTACGCACATATCTTCTTATATATTTTCTAGTTGAATAGATAATGAAATAAATTATTTTTATTTTTATTTTTAATTAAAAAATGTATACGCTTTTTGAAATTTTTTAACCAATATTGTTAACAATAAAAGTCACAATATTTTATTTATTTTATTATTATTTTATCGAGAAAAATATATTACAAGATGCATATACAGGGTGCTACGCAAGACTTTGACGTCCGGTCATGGGAAGGTAGAGGGGACTAAGACAAACAGAAAAGTATTGTACTATTTTGCGCTTGGACGAATAGTTATCGAGATACGAAATTTTAAAAATCGCCGTATTAGCCCAACCTACTGGCGAATGCAAGCGCGCGGTGAGTAGCGACCATCGCTGCGAATTTTGACGCAGCGCGGGGAGACGTGCGAGCGGTCGCGTAAGCGGCGGACGGGCAGCGGCGCGCCTCGCCTCCCTACTCCTCGCCCCGAA